GAACGCGCGGGCCAAGACCTGCGCGGGCCATAAAGGCTTGACTCATGAAGTTGCGAGACGCTCCGCAATCAATCATGGCACTACAGGTTGCCTTTCCGATTTGAATGCGGATATAGAGCAAAGGTGCGTCGGTTTCGGCGTACCTTTGGGTGGCGTGCTCGCGGTCGATCTTCGCAAGATAGGAGCGGAGATCGGCAACCGCTACCCCGTCGTCCGTCAACGGAGCTGGTACTGTAGTGTGCAAGTAGAAGCGTAGATTTGTCATCAAGGCGTTGCAATGCGGCCTTGGCAATGTTCCGGTTGAGGGTAGAGGTATCCAAGCAAAATCCTCTCTCGTGAGCGGGTCAAGCTCCTCAAGTCTTGACCACGCCGTCGAGTCCTCGGAAATCAGTGGCGAACTGACCGGGTTACTTGTCGACGGTGTACAGGCTGCGCATACGCAATCTACATGCACGTGGCTAGGCTGGTCTAATGGTGGTACCTGCTGGGCGGCATAATCCTCGTACGTAGCACGAGAATCAGCGACTAACGCATGCTCCCCGGTAGTGACATCGATTGCTAGCAAGGCAACCGGGTCCGGCGGAGTGAGGAGAGACGTCGCCCCTCTCCTTGCGTAACTCRGTTTCCCGAGTTTGCTGGACGGGGTACGCGTGCCTTGCCCTTTTCGGGGCATTGTGCGGTCACATGGGTGACTCCGTTGCACCAAAGGCAGTATCCGTACTTCTGACGTAGGTCATAGACCTCCTTGGTGATCTTATATGCCGTCCATGGCTGCTGCCCAGCTCCCGTCGCTGCCGTCTCTTGTGTCTCCTTGTTCTTACGAACTCTCTTGGGACGCTTCGGCGGGAGCGCTACCACAATTCCTCCATCACCCGAGGATGCTGCTGCAGCGTGGTGGTCGTCGGTTTCCTCGGAAATTACGGCATTGTTATGTGCCGGACGTTGATAGGCCTGCTTAGCCACATAATGCGGCTGGGATTGTCTCTCGTTAGCGGCCTTGTCGTCCGTTTGGATGACCAAGTTCGCTCGATCCAGAATGGCCTGGAATGTGGTATAGTCGTACTCATTACCGAGTGCCGACCGCAATCCCGCGCAYGATCGCGAGAAGAACTCGGATCGTTGATTTGGAAAACTCAAATCGAATCCTGGCGTGGTCACTATCTTTTGCCACTTCGTTGTCCAGTCTCGAGTTGGCATGTTCCCCTGAGAGCATGTGTATACCTCATTCATGGCCGCCTTCACGACGTTGCGGACCATGAACCGGGTGAACCATAGCTGCTCGAACTCCTGCCATGTGATGTGCGTGTGGAGTTCGGCGATGGTGCACTTGTGGGTGGCTGCCAGGTGGTTCATCCATGCCTGCGCTCCTCCAATCAGTTGCAAATAGAGTGCCTTCAACATGTCGTTTGCCGGGACAGTGCGGCATGACGCTTCCGTGAGGGAGCGTTGCCACCATGTCAAAGCGTCCGACTTGTTGTAGTCGTCGAACTTGCAGATGTCGAAGTGCGGCATCTTGAACGTCTTTGTAGCGGCGTCCGGTCTCGTCTGTAGCTTGGTGATGTCCGTCTTGAGGGCGGCCACCGTGCTGCTGATCGTGTCCGGTCCGTTGAAAACACCTATGTCGCCGATGATGGTGACGACGTGATCGATGCGTTCGTTGATTTGCTTCGTCGCGTCCGTCGTGCAGCCTGGCGCTGCTGAGGCCTTGGCCTCAATGTCGTTGATGCGTGCGATGGTAGAGTTCATCAGCTGTTGCTGTTGCTGCTGCTGCAYTGCTGCGTCGCGGACGTCGGCTGTTACAGCGGCCAGGTCTTGCTGGTACTGCTGTCTTTGCTGACGATCCGCGTGCAGGTGTGCCTGCAGTAGTTTTTTGTTCCACATTACTCCCCTCATTACGTTCAACATCACGGTAGCCAGGTTATTCTCTCTGCCTCCGCCTGTGTCGGTTCCGCCTGCGTTTCCGTAGGCACAAAGATCATGCCTTGGAGTACCGTTGTCCACTGATGCTCACTAGCAATCAGGGCACTCCGTCTGTTTCGTGCCGCTTCGTCAGTCTCAGCTGTCCGCTGAGCGTCGGCTGCCGCCTCATTGGCCAGCCGCTGACGTTCTGCCTCTGCCGCAGCCTGTTGAGCCTCGGCGGCGGCTACGGCGTTTGTAAATGCCTGTAGCCGCCCACGATAGTCAGCCCAAGACTCGCTGGCCTCTCGGACCGGGCATGCGGGAAAATCTCCGGTGGTGTCTTGTACTATCAATGCCGTACTTGATGCCGCT